CGGGGCGGCTGGGGAGCGCAGCGGGGGGAGCCAGTTCCCGTTCTGCCGGCGTCTGGGGCCGTGTCCCCCCCGCGGCACGGACCGGCGGGGCTGCGCTGTGCCCGGGTCTGCTGAGCTCCGGGTTCGGGCTGCGCTCTTGTGCTCGGGAATTGCCGAGGGAGGTTTGCCTCCACAGGTAAAACTCAACCCTTGGGAATTTCCCTCTTTGAAGCACTTTTTCCTGGTTTTTGTTCCTTTGTGACTTCAAGATTTTTGTGCTTACTCGGGACTCTTACCTGCCCATGTAAGAGTCTCCAGGGCTAAGGTGGGTGCAAAGTGAGGCGGCTTTCATCAGGGCGCCCGCCTGCTCCTGGAGGTGCCGGGCGGCCTCCACTCCCGCTGACTTCAGCCGCCAGGAATGCACGGCCGGCCCTGCCTTGCGTGTGGGGCGAGACAGCAGCCGGCGAAAGGAAACCTTCCTAGCTTGTTTCCTAGAAAAACGGGAGTCTCACAGACTCGCAGCGCGCGTGAAGGCGTGTGCATGTAGCTCCCTGTCTCTGTACACCCTCGTAACTTGTGAATCCCGTTCAGTGGAGAGCGAAAGAATCCAGAATTTTAAATATCCTGTGACTTTTGTGAAAACAGGGGGCTGGGCACAAGAGAAAGGAACCTCGTTATCCCCTTCATGAAGGCAGATGATGCAACGTGACTTCACACCTTATTTCAAATCTAATTAGATGCTCACGACTCCCCACGGGAGATATTAAACGTGCTCCAAACAAGAGAGGATGTTTGCATCTTAACAGGCATCAGAGAATCCAACCATGAGTTAATCCATGCGGGATCAGGCTTTCTTGAGCTGCTGTACGTGCATCAGTCGACTCGTTTTTACCGCACCACCAGTGGCTTCTGCTGCGTCCCAGCCCCTCGGCCTGTACCGGGTGCACTGACGGCAGATTTCAGCCCTCTGTAACGAGAACTTTGGATGCAGGATGAAAGAGGCTTAAGAAAGGCCATGGCAGGGGTGCTCCCCGCGGGCTGGTGGCGAGTGATTGGCACCTGATTGCCCGGTGATGCTCGCTAGCCTGTGAATGGGCAGCTCTGGGGCCCAGAGGGGAGTGGGAGCACCGGGGCTGCACCCCCCGACCCTCCGCGGGAGCAGCACATGTCCCTCGGCTTCAGCCCCTCGGAATTGCAGCAGGATCTGTGCCTGCCCCTGTATTTCACAGCAGGAACAAGCTGCCTGCCCCTTGCCTCGAGGATTTTTACATAAGTCTCTGGCAGAGGATGAGGATGGCTGTGGGCCTCAGCGCAGGTCAGGGTGCTGACCGTCTCCGAGGGGAGACAAAGCCGGGCGCCTCCTGATCTGAACAGTAGAGCCCGCGCTCGCCTCCAAGGCCGAGCAAAGCTTGCAATGTTTTCCCTGATTTTGAAATCGTGTTGTTGGGGTAATTAGTTTCAGTGCTGCTCGGGCTGGTACCACCCATTTCAGTTCATGTGTGCTGCTCCTTTGTGCCTACTGTCTGCTAATGATATTAAAGAGATCCGCTGCTGCGCGATCCGCAGGAAGAGCGGGCGCTGGCCAGCCTGCTTGGAGCAGGAGGTTGGCTCGGGACCTCTGGGGTCACTCCCACCCTGCTGATCCCAAACCGAATGACGAAATTACACAGCCAGCACCGAGCACCACGCCACCTGCGTGGTCAGTCGGATCTGGCTGGGGCAACGCGTACTGAGAAAATTCTGCAGGCTTTTGAAATGGTTCATTTAGAAAATGATGTGATGTTGAATGTCAGAGACCACAAATGTACGAGCTGGCTGCAGAGCTAAACAGACAGCAAGAAGCAGACCTTTGCTGGGCTTGTCTCACGTAGACTGTGAGGCCACCCGTGTGACACGGTCTTAGCTAAGACTTGCTGCTGCTGAATGGGAAGATACGAGCAGAAAGGTGCAGAATACATTTATTTACTAAGGTAATCTAGCTGCAGGTGCCGGTATCTCCTGGTGCTGTGGGTGAGCAGAGGCCTGAGGTCATGGTCTGGCAGGCCTCATGTCCGCACCCACATCTCTGCCGTGTTCTTGTGTCCTGGTCAGCTCCGCAGCGCAGGGCGGCCACGCTGGGCTGGCGTGCTCTGCCCGGGACCAGGCGAGGATGAAACCAGGCAGCTGGTGCTTGCTGTTTGCAGTGATGGCAGTTCTCTATCCGCTGATCTGGAGGGAAAATCTTGGTCTGAGGAGTGCTTCGGGCAACCCTTTCAAGTGCAGAGCTTGTCTGACCAAGGTGGCAATCCAGCCCGAGTGCTGGGAAGAAGTTCAGCACCTGAAATGAAAAGATGGCAATCGCACGGCTCAGCAGGGAGGGTGTTGCGTTATTCCTGTTACATGGGAACGTAGGATTTTATTTCTGAAACACATTTAAGGTGTGCCGAAAGGGAGAATTCTTCTCCGTAGCAAAGGACTGGTCTGGTCCTGTCCTTTTTGCCACTTCCCTCAGAATTGCTGTACTTTGCTATTGCTGTAACTTTCTTCGATGTAAATACCCGTGTCACGGTAGCACTGAACGGAAGGAGGAGGGGTGAAATGATTCTTTAAATCAACGGCATGCTCGTGATTGCTGGGTTGGCAGCCTGGCTGCAGCAGCCTCGTGTTTGACGCAGGAGGGTGTTGGACAGACGGGCTCAGGGGCGTGGGCAGCGTGATGACCCCCGGCCTGAGCCCGCTGAGCCTGTGACGGGACAGCTGCAGTACGTGCTCCATCTGGTCCCAGTCTAATCCCACACGCCCTACTGGGAGGTTTCCTCTGCAGATAAAGAAACAAGAGCTGCATTCGGGCAGCAGCCTCACCGAAGTCTTCCTCAGGCTGGTGGGTGAATTAGTCTGGTCTCAGCTGCTCCCTTCATCGTGCCTCTGCGGCGGCACCGTGTGGGGTGCAGGGCTCCCGTGGGCAGCGTGACCTCCTGGGAGCGTTACGTCTGCGGTAAAACGCCCCGTCCCTTGGGCAGGTCGAGTCACCTCGCCCTGTGTCTGGTCCATTAAGTCTCACAACTAGTGACTCCTTCCCTTCTCTCTCTTCGTGCATCCGAGAGGTGTCTGAGAGCTGGCGCGCTGTTCCTAGGGCATATCCAAACGTAACCTTTTCCTGAGGTTAGCAGCAGGCTGCTCTGTGACTCCATGCAGAATCTTTTTGCTCCTGCTTTTACTTGCTGGCCTCAGCGCACACAGAGCCTGCTCCAACTTCTTTAAATTATCTCCTTTAAATTTTCTTCCTGACCTGCTGATCTGAACCTTTCTGCCTGCTACTCCCACAATGCAGCAAGTTTAATGCCTGTGTCTTTGCTTTCAAGCTTCTACCTTGCTGCTTCGCCTCCTTCCTCTCTGACCTGCCCTCTTATCCATGACCTCTAGCCCTTCTTTGTGGCCCTAATGCTGGCTCAGGCCCTTTTTTTGTCTCTTCAGCATCTGCCCACAGACCTCGCTTTAAGAATCTGTGTGTGCTCAGAATAATGTGAGCAGTGGGGCAGGACTGAGGCGTCTGGGCATTGCTGCAGCTGAAACCGTAACGCGTCCTGATTCATTGCCTGCCCCGTGCTTTCCTGAGAAGGGCTGTAGTGTTTGCTCTAAGGAAGCAAAACACAGCAAAACATTTTTCAGCAAAACTTGCAGGCGGAAACTTGCCTTCAAAGCCTTACAGTCGAGTTCACTACGGCTTTTCTTTCTGCCCTTCTTTGCACATACCCGACTTTGTTGCAATAGATCTAAACCAACATGTAACACTCCTTAGGGCAAGGACTGTCTCTCTTTGTTCCACAAAGCCTCCAGCACGCTTCCAACCATTGCTTCACATTTCCTGGCGTGGGGAGGAGGATGGAGAGAGGCCCGTGCTTGAAAGACAGATGTCATTAAAATACAGTGGAGCAGAGTCTGAAGTAAAAGATAGTGCGGTGGCGATCTCGATGATGAAATGTATGATTTCACTGTTGAATGCAGAACGATCGTGCTAGCTGCGGGAAACAACCCCACGCTGGCACGAGGGCAGTGCGGTGCTGCCGTGCTGGCAGGGCTGTAGCTGGCAGCATCGAGCTCCCCGCAGCCCCTCCGTCCTCGGCCGTGCTCCTCGGTGTGAGTGACTCGGGCCCAGCTTTGGAGACGGCCTCATAAAACGCCACCTGGAAAGTCCCTGTCTGGCGTATTTAATGGGGAAAGGTTGGCCTGAGTTGTTCTGAACGCCTAAGCCATGCAGAAAGGCTGTTCAGAAATCTTCTCTTTGCACGATGTGTCTGTGCAGGGACGCAGAAAGCAGCGCACACGTGTTGGAGCGAGGAGTCTCTCTGCAGCAAGGCGGGACAGCAGCCTCTGCGTGCCAGCCTCGCCTCACGCGGGGAGCGGGGGGCTGTGGGGCTTTGGGCCTCTGCAGGACCCTGGATTTCACCCTGACCGAGCCCTGTGCCGGCAGCCACGGGCTGGTGCACGAGCAGCAAATCCAGCCGGTGGTACCGCAGAGGATGGGGTGTTCTAACGTGAACATTACAGGGCCAGGGTAGATGTTGTGTGCTTTGACAGCACCTGTAAGTAACTGTAAGGATGGGAAGTCGCTTTGCTCGTCTCGCAAGCGCAGGTCGGGGCAGTGGTGCTCGCGCTGTGTTCTCTCATTGCTGCTTTGAACTGTTTCCTGTTTGATTGTTCCCTTAATCAAAAGAAAATGAACTCCAATTAAGGTATCTTACAAAGTGTGATTTGTGTCAAGACCGCTGGTGTGCCTTTGAAAAAGCAGAAACACTGAGGCCTGATTCACACAAGACTTGCAGGAGAAAGGGGTGGATCAGGCTTCTCAAGTACACGCAGGGAGAGCCGAGTTTGATTCATGCAAATCAAAGTTTTCTTATAATGCGAGATCCTCCTGTTTGAGATAGGACGGGAGACTGACATGAACATTGTAATAGTGTTTTGGAAAGGAAAAGGGCGTATCCGTGGCTGCATGTTTACCCAGGCGTGTTCATGCATGTTCCCTTGGTGGAATACACATCTTTTACGTGTACTTACGAAGAGGCTTCCAGCAGCCCAAGGAACCTGCAAGAGCAACGTCTGTCACGACAGAAACTGCTTTTGGTGCGTGAAGACTCTTTGGTTGGTTGGAAGGTCTGTGTCGTGTATCATTACCATACAGCCCTCTAAACTGTCCTCCTAGTATTTCATCAACAAACTTTTAATAAACATAGCGAATTAATGTGTTGAGAATATTAAGCTTTAAAAGCGCTGGCCTTGAATTAAAAGCAGATAGCCTTGGTGGGATGAGGGCAGAAAGCTTACTTTAAGTCCCACTCTGTGAAACTGCTTTTAATAGTGGAAATTTACTGAAATCTTGGGACTTGAAGGGAGAGAGATTTTGCCTCCTGTTGTGTGTACTTGAGAGAAGTAGGTTATCAGGAGATGTTTGATACCCAGGCAGCAGTTACCCCGTTGATGCAGTTTGTACTAAACATTCTCTTTGTTTTTATCCCCCGAAGGGAAGCCCGGGGGCACAGTGAGCAGCCCCCACTCCGGCAGTGGCAAAGCACGGGGCAGTGAGGCACCAGCTTCGGGCAACTGGCAGAGATCTCCACCGACGGCTCTCACGGGAAGGTAACTCGGGTCAGCCTCGCTGCCGGGGGGAGGAGGTTTGTGTGGTGGAGGGATCGGGGTCCCTCGGCCGGGCGCCGAGCCAGGGCGGCTGTGGCCAGCACGCTGCGGAGCTGCTGCGTGCCAAGCAGAGACCTGCTGAACGCCGACGGCTCCCCCAGAGCAACGCGGGGCCCCGGCCCCCTCTGCTCTGCACCTCTGCAAGCCTCTGCTTTGCCTCTGGGAAAAGAAAACGGCAGAATGGGAACAGCTGCACTCCTTGAGCCCCTGCAAGGGACTGCAGCGAGCAGAGGATCGGGCCCTGCTGGCTCTCAGGAGGGGACTGACTTTTAAAAATGAAAAGGAAACCCAGAACGGTCAAAAGGCCCTGAAAGGCAGCAAGAATCACACATAGGGATTGAAAGCTAAAGAGAGGGAGAATCTTAATTAGATCTCCACCAACCTGTAGAAGAAGACATTTGGATTAAAATGAAGCGGAGCTTTGTACTCTCAGGGTTTCAGCGCAAGAATGGAAGAGGAATTATTCACATTTGCTATTTGTGAAGCTGGATTGCTTTTGCTGTGAACTTGTCTTTTTAACTTCTCACCTTGTCAGAAAATTGTGAAAAGCTGCTGGGATGGTGTATTTGGGGTAGTTCTTATCACAGCACGTAGCAGAAACATTTCCATGGTTTCAGAACATGGGCAGAGTTTCCTATTTAATCCTATCCTCCCCGAGTTACCTCCTTCCCTCCTGCGGCAAGGCAGCCCATCCACTAGTCACCAACCTGCCTTATATTTCACTACCATTGATATTTTCTCTTTGCGAATATCTATCAATATTTAATACAGTGGTGTCAGTTTTGCTGTAAGATGAGAGGAACTACTAGAAACCTTGAATTATACATTGTGTGGCTGGGGGAAGCTGGGGAGAGTTTCTTTTGGACCCAAAGCTCTTGGAGTTGATCTCCAGGACCTGCAGCTTGAAATCCTAATAATGGATGAGCACCAGAAGAAACTCAATCAGCGGCATGAGGGAAGGCCCCGCAAAGTGAGGTTCAAAATTTCATCGTCTTACAGTGGTCGAGTGTTAAAACAAGTCTATGAAGATGGGCAGGAACTGGAGCCCCCGGCCAAAGAGCACTCTCGGCGTTCTCTCCGCCACAGCTTCGAGCCAGGGGACCATTTCTGTGGGGCTGGGGAAATGCCAGAAAACAGGTTTTACTTGCCAGCCAAGCTGACTGCCCAGCGGATCAGCATATTCAAAGAGGATAAGAAATACAGTCTCACCAGTAACTCGCCTCTCCTCGGTGACTACCAGGCCAGCGACAGCCACTGCAGGGTAAGTAATGTCCAGCCTAGGGCTGTCAAACTGTTGTGAAACCAACTTCAGACTAAACCTTTTTTTAGAGTAATATGGTAACAGGAGTCTCAAACTGGAACCTCACTCGGATAAAACTCGGTTTTGTCAATCCAGGATTTTAAAAGGGTTCCTGTAAGTCTTCAGCCTTTATCCCACAAATTCTGTGTTCTGCTTACTCTGCAAATGGCAGGATCCGCGTGTTTGGCAGCGGCACAGTCAGCAAGGGAACAGCATCTGCTAGCAGTGCTCCCTCTTCTCACTGGGATGATTTGCATCTGTCTGTTCTGTAGAGTACGATGGGACATTTCCATATATATCAGTATCTATACACAGTAATCCTAATGAATCTAAAGCAGTCAAGTGTAAGGTGGATATTATCTTAACTAGTTCTGTTTAGAACATTGAAGTTGCATGACTTCAGCTTGCAAAAAGGTTAGTGCCACTGGCAGCGTGAGCCTTCGCGCGAGGCATCCGCATCCCCTGGCAAGTCAGAATTCCCCTTCGGCTACTTTGAAAATCCCAGCTTGGTTTCACTGGGTATATCGTTAACGTATAATTAATGTCATTGATATAGAAGTGTCTCTTCTGTCCTAATAAAAAGCCAGTACATGTGTAAAATATGTTAAATTGATTAATACACAGGGATTATGTTCATTTTCTTACCCCGTCGAATTAGATTTATGTATCTGTCGCTGCTGTTTGGTTTTATCACGTCTAGCCGCAGCGACTGAGCGATCGGTGTAACAGCGGTGGCGGGTCGGCACGATCGCTGACGCAGCCGGGAGAGGAGAGTTACCCTGATGCGATCAGCAGGGCTGTGAGGCTCGCGGGGAGCCTGCTCAGGGGAGAGGTGCTCTGAAGGAGGGTGTCGGGCCTTTCCCCGGGAGGCGGCTCCTTCCCTCGGCTCAGAGCGAACAGCAGAGCAGTTAGTGTCAGCGAGCGAGCCAGCCCCTTGTGCCGTGCCCCCCGCACACCCCCCAGCCCTGTGCTGCCCCGGCTGCTTGCAGGGAGGCCAAGGATTGGGGCTGTCTCCACAGAGGAGTCTGGTCACTCAAGTAAGCCCAGTGCTGCGAGATAAAGTTGTGTTGCCCTCCGCTGCGGTCTTTGGGTAAGTAAGGGATGTCGCTCTGGCACTGACACAGCTAAAGAGGCTGAAGTGCTTTATAAAGGATAAAACGCTTTTTATGACCTTGCTTGAATACATTAAAAGTCTATTAATTCTTGGTGCTAATCAAAGCTGCGTGTGGGAAACCCAGATGGCTGGTATTTGAACTATATTTAGTTGGTAAACTGGGCATCTAGTTTAACTGAAAATACCAAACCACGATGAATCTCTCCTGCCTAAAGACAGAGCACTAATGTGATCTTATCCATACCATTAATTTGTTCTGCATTCCTGGGTAAGGCTCATCTCCACTCCCTAGTCTCCCTCACCATAAATACGCTATCGGCTCATCACGCTATCCAGCACCAGCTTTGTTTGGTGTCAACACGCATTTGGTATTTGGAGACACCGTGTCTGTGTAACGAAGACGAGGCTTTCAAAGCCTTCGGTGCTCACCGGGCTCCCCCCCCCAGCTCCTCCCCACAGCCCCGCTGGTGCCCAACTGCCAGGAGAGCCACCAGCCACCCCGTGTCAGCTGATGTGACTCTGGAGAGTGTTTTCTTAGGAGAACGTCTCCCTTTGCATCGCTTCCTGACACAGATACTCGCACAGAGCGAAATACGAAGAGTGTGTAAAACAATAGGTACGGTAACCACTGCCATGTGATACCTAGCACAAAGGGCCCGGGTAAGCAAAACCCTGCTTTCAGAGAAACGTTTGACCATACCGAGCTTAGCTCTAAGATCACCAGAAAAGAATACAAATTCAAGTGTGCCCAGAGATGGTTCTTTAGGCTGGCTCCTCACTGTCAGGAACACAACTTAGCATTAGATAACGAGGGTTCTTTATCATCTGACCCTTTTGCCAGCATTAATAAATTACAGAGAAAAGCTTTCTTTTAAATCTGAAAAAAAACCATCGAAGGCTGCAGACTACGTCACCATCATGGGGGATTCCCACTTCTGGCCCAAAAAAATGGAAACCCCTCTGTACCCCACACCCCTCCAGCTACTCAACCTTCAAAGAAATGTAGGTCAGGCCCCAGTGCAGGGTTCACTTTTCCGTATAGGCCAACACCACTGCTCTTAGAATTCTGCCTATTTTTTTCATGCATATGGGCTGTAATGAGAATTTACATCCCAGAAATCTTTCCCCATCCGGAACACGGTATAAGTGAGGCTCCTAAGGTCTGAGCCGAAGCCTTGGTCGGATCCCATCCTGTGCTCTGGCTGCTGGCGAGGGGCTGGCGGGCGCTGCCGGGGCATCGCCGGAGGGGATGGTCTGCCGGAAGCCCGGGGATCATCAGTGGTTGTGGAGTGCATTTATACAGGTGAGACACCGATAAAATTCTTCTTCAGGCTTCCCCAATTCTAGATTTTGGCAAGATCGTCATCTACACCAATAACTTGAAAATCATCCGTGCACCAATGGACCAGAAAGAGCTCATGAGGAGAATCATCCAGACTGAGGGAGTAAGTGACTGGGCCTTCGTATACCGGGAAAAGAAAGAAAGATTTGGTGGTGGACATAGAAAAGATGTGGAAAAAAAGGTTGCCTGCAACCAGTATGTGCAGGTAAGAGAAAATGGAATTTTTTTTTTCTCCCTTATGGCTTTTGGGTCCTACAGCCCTGGTGAGACCACTGAGTATTCCCACCCAAGCCTCATCTCTGCCAGTATCTGGCACTTAACTAATTTTGGATTAAACATCACTTTGTTCCTCTTTCCCCCCGGGAGATAACCGAGCAGTGCTGCACTGCCGTTTGCCCTCTGGGGACAGCTGTTCTTCTTCCAGATGCTCGTGTCTCCCACTCAATTCTTCCCCTGGAGATCCCTGACATTTATGTCACTTGGCTTAGGTCCATCCTTCGTCACCATCTCCCGGTGGAATAAGATCAGGCCGGAGTTTCTCCAGCCTGACAAGGCTAAACACAGCTGCTCTGTGGTTGAGACTGCCAGAGGCTAAAATTTTAATATCGTCTGAAATAAGATTGTGCCTTTCACTTGTTTTCTCACGGGTTAGTCTTTGTTGGTCAGTCCCAATTAGTCTGACCATAATTTGATCCCACAAAACGTAATGTTGTCATGCAGGGCAAATATGAAGAATTACAGTTTTGGAGATCTGAGGCAGACCTGTGCTGAGTGCAGGTGACCTTGATCCTTCTGCAATCTTGAGCCTGGCTTGTGGCTCACTTGCAGAAAGAGCCCATGAAGGCTGAAAACAGCCCCAAGAAATTTTGGCCTTTGTCAGTTTTGAATAAATGTGATTTTCAGAAAACGGGCTTTAACATAAACCCCAAGACCCATCCCGTCTACAGGCAGACACCTATATGAGCCATCAAAAAACCCCTCGTGGCCTTTGGGGGCATGTGTCGACAAGGGCCTCCGTAAGGGGCCTCCTGCCTTCCTCCAGGCACCCTCGCGGGAGGAGGGTGCTCTGGGGAGGGACAACAGCTCTCGTAAGGCATTGTTCCAGAGAGATCTGTTAACCTCGGAAGAACTCGGTACTCCTGTTCTCCTTGATGTTTGGGAACAAAAAGTAAAACTTGAAGGTCCTAAAACTGTATATTTTTTAGAATAATGTTGGACTTTCTATACACTGGTATTATGAACATCTATTTAAAGATGACCAAACCACAGGCAGGTTATTCTTCTGAGAAGTCAATTAACTTGGACTGTCAAATTCATAAGCAGGCACCAGGATGAAGCCGATCTGGCACCAGCTCCCTGTATCTTAGTTAAAACCTTGTTCTCTAGTGCCATGTAGAATAGAAGTGCTGCACAGAAGTGATGCAGGACTCTGAACCTCACATCAAAAGAACGAACCTACGCCGTGCTACATCCTTTCTGATGCAGATATTTAATCACATCTGGGCTCTGTGGAAGCACTGAATTTTAAGATGGGATTTGAAAGAGGCTGTCTGGCACCCTGAGAGAGAGTTGCAGGCACAAGGGACAGCTTGAAAGAAGCTGTGCGTGTCGGTGCTGAGGGATTCAGGGCGGGAGAGGGTGAGGAGAAATGCTGGAGGAAATGAAGCATGGCTCACAGCTGAGGATACAGAGCTGGGAAGATGGATGTGTTAAGAAACGACAGGAACACGGCTGGAGCTATGCGGACCTTTGCAGGAGAAAGATGAATTTCAAAGTATTGTGTTGCCAGCCCAGTCACATTAACTTCTCATTTTCTAGAGGTATCCACAAATTGTCCCCAAATATATGGGAATGTTTTTCTTGAAGATCGTGCTGTAGAGAATATTATTGGCAGAGTGGCCTGTCAGGAGCAACAGTTACTAAAAAGTCCAGAAGACAGGATTTCCCTCTTCCAAGTACATTCCTGACTGGGTGTGTGATGGCCAGTAACAGACTGTTTGCACTGTCTCTTTCAGGAAGGAGATGCTGAACATGGTTGTTCCCAGTGTAAAGGCTCAGGCTCTGCTCCTTGCTCACTGTGCCACGGAAGCAAGTTTTCAATGCTGGCAAACAGATTCAAAGAGTCCTACAGGGCTCTCCGATGTCCGGCTTGCAACGAGAGGGGCCTGCAGCCCTGCCAGATCTGCGCTGCCTGATCCGGATCACCATCCCTGCCGCAGGCTACAAACACCACAGCGATATTTTGTTGAAAACTTTGAATTATTTAACCTTCAAGCAGCCTCGCTGTCATGACAAGTTTTTAAAAGATGGGGAAGGCACATTATATACATCCCACTGTCCATGTGAATACCACACCTCTGCTACCGACTGTCCCTCTTGTCTGCTACGCAGACCTGTCCGACTTTGCCGTCGGCCCAGACCCCAGTGTCTGCAGGGTGAGCGTATCCCCTGATGCTAGAGGAGATTATCAACTTTTGGAATCTCTGGCATCTAGAACTCAGCCTGAATTTGCTGGCACTGTCCCTTAGCCAGGAGCGTGGTGCCCAGCAGAGCCAGGCCCCGACCCACCAGGCACTCCAGTAACATGGTTAACAGCAGCAGAATTAGGCGCAGTTTGGGCACGTTGGTAACGTGTCAGGGTGTAAAGTCTGTTTGTATCACAACAGCAAAGTGGGGCCTCCTCTAGGTTTTGACTTGCTGAACGTTTTAAAATTACGCTGTCTTTTGTAGTTAACAACCATGTACTTGCCCTGCAGTGTCACAAGCATTTCCCGGAGATTTTGCCGATTCTTACATCTGCTTTAGCGGACACAATGATTCCTTTGGGGTCTGATTTATGGGAAGAAATTGAAAACCCTTCCCAATCCTGGAGCTATTAAAAATGTACAATAATTTATTCTTGTAAATAGAAGTTATTAAATTTTTAGCCTACTTATGAGGAAGTGCTATATTAAAATTCCCCCGTACAATGCTCAGCACTTTTCAGGATCAGGCTGGTGGTGAGCAGGACTTCTGTTGCTTAATATTAATCCCATGTTGTAATCTGCAGAAGGTAAACTCTAATTAGCTGAGATGAAGCAATGATGTGGGATACTTTGCAGGCTGCCACGGGTGGCACAGAATACAGAGGCTTCAAGAGGTTGAGGCAAGCAGGGGAAATGGTATTTTTTCCCCAAAGCATTAATTTATTACATTTTATATTCATAAGTAATGTTAATGCAGCCTTAACTTGCATATTACCTCTGAGACTCTGATAGTTAAGAGACTGCTCACATGTACTTTGTGCTGAGGTTGCAAGCCTGGACAGGGTAATTTATGGCCAAGTTTCTATTTTCCTGTGGTAGGTTATAAGAATTCTCTGCAATAGTTAAATGATAAGAAATAATGCTGGTTTAGCTCTTAAATTTCCATCTGTCTCTTACTAAAATTGTTCAGTGGGTAATGAGAGTTTATTTTTTGAAAAAAGTGCATAAATCTATAGCAGATACTTGATTGGCTTTATTTATCATACTAGGATCTGCGTTATGAAAAAAATGTAGTCCCTGGGGTATTCACTGAGGGCAGATGAGACCTCAAAAATCAGAAATTGTTGTTAGGTGAATCTCTTCCCTCAGATTTGGCCCGTTTGTTCTCATAGTTTGTTGGGCTTGTGTAAAAGTTTGCTGGCTTAAGATAAAGAAAAAAGCAACCAGGCGAAATTGTTGCCTGATAGTTTAATGTTTACAATAAACTAGATGCAAATACGCATTTCTAAATCAATATTTATTGTCCTTTGGTAATTACGATGTTTCCCAACCACCATTACAGCTGGCTGTGTCAGCTGTTCCCGTCCATCCCGTCACTGGGGCGATGCTTGCAGGCAGGAGCCGTGCTCTGCCCTCGGCCGGCCGCAGTCCCGCCGGGGCCGGGGCCGGGACCGGGGGCCGGGGCCGGGGGTCTCGTCCATGAGCAGTGCCAGGGCCAGGCCGCGAGCGCCAGGGTCGAGCAGCGCTGGCTGGATTTGCTCACCCCGCTTCAAATGCATTTTATATTTGGCGATACACTGACTTGGTTCACCCAGTCAAGGCTTTCTTACTTCACAGCAAAAAGAGGTTTGGGCTTTCCTAAAGCATCATGGTGAGGCTACAGGTTACTTTTAACACGTTGCTGGTTTTATTACTACTGCAGCCCCAGCGGGCTCGGCCTGCGGAGCTGGGCACGGCGGAAGGCGTGAGGCCGTCTGTGCAGCCCTTGTCCGGTCGGGCTCTGCTGCCAGCGTCGGGGAACAGACCCGTCCGGGGCCAAGGCCTGTGCCTGGGCCC